AGATTCTCAAACTTGGTAGTCAACATCTGAAGCCTTGACATTTTCACTTTGGAAGTGCCCTCATGGGTAGTTTTGAGAGTGTCCCAAACTTCCTTGGCCAGTTCATATTGATGTACTAGTCTGAAAATGTTTCTATCAATTCCATTGAACAAGGCATTTAAGGCTTTGGAATTTCCCAGGGCTAACTCATCTTCTTCTTTACTCCAATCTTCCTCAGGCTTCAAACTGATTGTCCCATCTTTCTCAGTTATGGTGGGATGGATCCATCCTTTGTCAGCAGCTCTCCAAGCCTTTTTGTCCAGAGATTTTAAGAAGGCAATCATACGAGGTTTTCAGTAGTCATAATTAGTTTCATCCAGAATGGGTGGTCTATTTCCAAAAACTCCTTCTTTGTCCATAGTGCCAGAAAGTGATATCCCTAGATCTCACCCAGTAATACAGGCAGGGTGCCTGCTCTGATGCCAATTGAAATTCTGGCTGCAGATACTCAATGTCACGTTCAATGTTATGACACCGTATCTGACTTTCTATAAGACAGTGAATACAAAAACAGTAAAGAACAAAGTCAATTGTTTACCCAGTTCAGTGTGCAACAACACCTACTCTGGGGGCTACCAAGCCAGGGAGGAAATCCAGTATAAGAAATATTAATTCAGGAATAAACCAACCAGTTTATCTCCTTCACTTAAGACCTACCCAATGCAACTTCAATCTAAGTACAACTTAAACCTGAGTTCCTACTCACTCCCCCTCAATCACAGCAGTGATACATAAAAACAATTTGACTAATGAATTGTTGAAGACACTCTTCAAAACATACACTTGATTATGCTTCACAGCTTTTTAATCAAGCAACACAAACACTCTTGCTTCACAGCTTTGAGTGATACACAAACCTAACTTGACTTTGCTTCACAGCTTTAGTCAAGAGACATACAAACACTCTTGCTTCAAAGCTTTGAGTGTTACACAACCCTTACAATTAAAACCTATTCCAAGTCACTTATCACAATGATAATTGCTTGGATTACAATAGTAAAAACTATACAGCTTCTAAATGATCTTCTGTCAAAAAGGGATACCATTCAAAACAGCAGCCCTGTTGAATATATAGCAGCTGCAACTTCAGTTAGGGTTTCCACAAAAAGCTAGGGTTAATTCCGTTTGACCTTAAGACTAGGTCACGGGACTTTATCAACCAGGTTGGGGTTGAGCTAGGTTAACCCAAAGAAAACGCAGGATTCTGTTCTGGAAAGACTGAGTCATTTTCCTGAAAAAACTCAGAATTAACCAAACTGCATACCTGTTAGTTCAAAACAGGATGTCTTAACATCTGTTATGACATCTGAAAACCTGTCTACTGATTTAGGTAAATGTGATCATTTTGCAAAATGCTCAGATACACACTTATAAACATCAGTACCTGTATGACAATATTTTTCTGCAAAGGTACCTAATGAATCAGTACATACTAAACTAGAATGTTATGACATCAGTCATGACATTCACACATACACTTGGGTTTTACCAAAAATGCAAGCCAATAACTAAACAACTACATAAAGTGAGACATTGGATACCTTGGCCTTTTTGTACATGCTCTAACATCCTTCCTTATTGCAATTGGAAGATCTCTAGCATCCATGGATATATTCTGCTCCTCTAAATCAGTCCCATCAACTTCAGTTTCAGGGGGCACAATTTGCTCCTCTAAAACAGTCTCATTGATTACAGTTTCAAGAATTGGGTCAGATTCTGGGACTTGCACAGGTTGGATAATAGGTGCTGCCCTTCTTGTGTAAACTTGTAGTGGACGAGTAGCATTAGAAGTCTGTAATGAAGTGGTTATAGGACTTGACTCGGGAGTCTTGGGCATAAAAGAAAGGTCTTTGAACAAATCATCCTTATCTTCGATGCATTCCTTCTCCCCCTGAAGATAAGGTTTGGAAAAAAAGGATTCGGTTTCGACAAAAGTGACATCAATAGACACAAAATTCTTTTTTGTTGTAGGTTGATAACACTTGTAACCTTTTTGGGTAGGCGAGTAACCAAGAAATATGCATTTAATAGCTCGGGGATCAAGTTTTCCTCGATGTGGAGAATGAACATGGACAAATGACACACACCCAAAGATCCTAGGAACTAGGTGGTTTGAAGTTTTGAAATTTGGGTAGAATTTGGAGAGGAGCTGAATGGGGCTGTTATTCTGAAGAATTTGAGAGGGTAAGCGATTAATCAAGTAGGCTGCAGTAAGAGCAGCCTCCCCCCAATATTGTTTTGGAACATTTGTGTGGAATAAAGATGCTCGGGTAACATTGAGAATATGCCCAATTTTTCTTTCAGCCACCTCATTTTGTTGTGGGGTGTGGACACATGATGATTCATGAATAATACCATGTTCAGTGAAAAAGGAAGACAATGTTTGATTAAAATAATCTTTGGCATTGTCAGAACGAAACCGTTTAATGGTAGTCTCAAATTGGGTTTTTATCATTTGGAAAAACAATTTAAATATTTGAGTGACTTCACTTTCTTGTTTTAAGAGATACATCCATGACACTCTAGTACAATCATCAATAAAAATGACAAACCAACGGGCCCCCGATATATTTGGGATATTGGATGGCCCCCAAACATCACTATGGATTAAGGAAAAAGGAGTAGACATTCTTTTATTATTATTAGGAAAGCTGACACGTTTGTGTTTAGCAAGTTCACAATCATCACAGTGAAAATTTTCTAAGTTTATACCTTGAAACAAGGTGGGAAACATATTTTTGAGAGTGCTGAATGAAGGATGACCCAACCGGAAGTGACGCAACCAAATTTCTTTATTGAGGGAAGGAATAGATTCTGACAACAAAGACAGTGGAAGTTGACTCTTAATGCTACTTGTCTCACGCGCTTCCATAAGAAGGTAGAGCCCATTGTCCTCTCTAGCAAGTCCAATCATCTTCCCCGTTTCCTGATCCTGAAATTTGCAAAGTGTAGGAGTGAATGTTACCAAGCATTGTAAATCTGTTGTAAGTTTGTGAATAGATAACAGTTTGGCAGATAATTTGGGCACATGCAAGACATCTCTCAACATTAAATTTTGACTTAGTGGAATATCTCCCTTTCCTGCAACAGTAATAAAAGTGCCATCTGCAGTGACAATCTTTTTATTACTTGGACACGGTGTGTAAGAGATAAACTCTATAGAGGAATGGGTCATGTGATTCGTAGCCCCAGAATCAACAATCCATGTCCCTTTTCCTGTAGATTGTAAAACACTAAGAGCATAGGGATGAGAACTACCTGATAATGCCATGGAAGAACTACCTGTGTTTGTGGGTTTGACTAAAGAGTCTAGTAGTTCCCTTAGTCTTGTAATTTCTTCTGAATTGAAATCAGCAGTAGGTTTGGAATGACTTTCCTTGACAACACTTGATTGGACCAAGTGGGCATGTGCTGGTCCTCCTCGTTGAATGCCTTTGGTGTTCCAATTTCGGTTCTGATTTGGCGGTTTTCCATGAAGTTTCCAGCATCTGTCTTCGGTGTGCCTTGGCTTCTTGCAGAAGGTACACCATAGAGAATCCTTGTTATCCCCTCTTTCAATCTCCATTTTGGGAGCTCCTCCGGTTTGACCGTTCTTCCATTGGTCAATGTTCTTCTCTCGACTTTGTGCTACTAAGGCTGAACTTTCAGTTGATTGAGGCTCCATCATCACTCCTCTTCGTGATTCTTCTGTTCGAAAGGCAGCCATGGTTTCATTTAGTGAGGGTAACTCTTTTCCGAGTACTTGAATCCTTATTGGATCAAACTCATTGTTCAGACCGGTTAAGAACTTATAGATTCTATCCTTCTCCTTATAATTTTTTAGTAAAGTAGCATCTGCAGTGCATTTTGCTTCAAAATGTTCATAGTGATCCAACTCCAACCATAGATTTTGTAGAGTTTGGGCATACTCACTAATGGACCGATCTCCTTGCTTGGTAGTTGCAATCTTCATCTTAATTTCGTAAATTTGTGCAGCATCACCAACCTTGGAATAGTTTTCTTTACAGCTGTCCCACACCTCTTTGGCAGTCTTCATGAATATGCATGCATCACTAATCTCAGGCACCATGGAATTCCATAGCCATGATATTACAACAGCATCTTCTTCATCCCATGCAGCAAATTTCCCGTCTGTAGCTTCTGGAGTATCCTTTCCAGTAAGATGATTCAATTTGCCCTTCCCCTTTAAAAAGGTTTGGACAAAATGAGACCATTTGAGGTAGTTTTTACCATTGAGACGAAGGCTAGGTTGAACATTTTTCAGCTCAACAGAGCCGGTGTTTGGGGCAGGGGTATTAACTGGTTCAGACATTCTGAATTTTGTTGGGAAAAACGGCAAGATAGACCGTAAAATAAAATCGGCAATGCAGGCCGCACAGCGGAAACAATGGCAATGCAGGCCACAATTTTTAACAGGCTCCTATGGATTTTGGAGCTCTGGTACCATGACAGAGATAATGTTTATTATTATTGATTAGAGCAGCCTGTGCTCTTAAATAGAATACAATATATTTAGGAAAGGAAATTCCTAATAAATACTTATCATTGCCCTCAATCAATTCTATAAGTAAGGACCAATAATTTCTATAAATACATACACAGCTAATCAAATCCTATTTATGGGATTTTAATCCTATTTAACTATAAAATATACCACTAATTAACACATGTACAGCTCGTTCTGACAGGATCCATAGGAGTATCAGCTGGTTTTGCATTTAACAACCCTGTTTCTTCCAAAATATCCATAGCATATTTCCGCTGGAAAATCACCAGGCCATCTTTGGATTGGACCACCTCAATTCCCAAAAAGTAGCGGAGTTTACCAAGATCTTTTGTCTGGAATTGATTCGATAGATGTTTTAACTGGAGTATTCCTTGTTGATCACTACTAGTTATAACAATATCATCTACATACACAATAAGATACACCCTTGAGCTGGGTGACGATAAAATACAGAATGGTCAGCTTCACCACGGACCATATCAAATTGTTGTACTACAGTGCTGAATCTGCTAAACCAGACTCTCGGAGATTGCTCAAGACCATAAAGAGACATGTGTATCCTACAGACCATATTCAAGGACTCCGCCTGAGCAACAAAACCAGGTGGTTACTCCATATATACTTCCTCTTCAAGATCACCATGTAAAAAGGCATTTTTGATGTCAAGTTGACGAAGATGCCAATGTCGAATGGCTGCAATGGCTAGAAGGAGTCTTACAGATGCCATCTTGGCTATAGGCGAGAAGGTGTCTGTGAAAAATAGGAATAAGAAATTTTCTGAATGTGCTTGAGTGAGTAAAGCACTCAACAACCTTGATATTTATACACACTATATAATTAATTACATATTATGTTTACAATGAGAAATAAATAATAGTCCAACTCCCTAAATGCATGAATCTAAATATACATGAACCTAAGACTTAAATGCTCATTTTAGTGGGAAACATACAATTTATTTTTTCTATTTCCAACACTCCCCCTCAAACTGGTGAATAAGTATTCTTCATTCTCAACTTGGATACAATTCGTTCAAAATTAGTGCTACTCAATCCTTTAGTGAGAATATTTACAAGTTGCCCTTGTGAGGACATATATGGGGTGCAAATCAACCCACTACCAAGCTTCTCCTTAATGAAGTGTCTATCAACCTCAATATACTTAGTTCGATCATGTTGAACTGGATTATGTGGTATACTGATAACTGACTTATTATCACAATAGAGCTTCATGGGTCCTTTCTATTTGAATTTCAAATCTTCTAAAATAATTTTGAGCCAAAGTAATTCACAAATGCCTTGTCTCATGGCTCGAAATTCAACTTCTGCACTAGAACGGGCTACTACATTTTGCTTCTTACTCCTTCAAGTCACAAGATTTCCTCCAACAAAGGTGTAGTACCATGTAGTGGGTCTTCTATCAACAATTGAACCTGCATAATTTGCATCAGTGTAGGCTTCAAGGGTTGTATTTCCATTTCTTCTGAACAAAATTCATCTTCCTGGAGTTCCCTTGAGTTCCCTTAAGATACTGTAGGATTCTATGAACTGCTTGTAATTGGTTTTCTTTAGGACAGTGCATGAACTGACTAACCATACTTATGGCATATGCAATATCGGGTCTAGTGTGAGACAAGCAAATTAATTTTTCAACTAGTCGTTGATATATTTCTTTATCTACTGCAACATCTTCTGTATTACTCAGTTTAAGATTTGGATCCATAGGAACGCTCGCAGGTTTACACGCTGTTTTTCCTGTATCTTTGAGTAAATCTGTAATGTATTTTTGTTGAGATATAAAAATTCTTTTTCGGGAATGTGCCACCTTGATTCTCGAGAAGTACTTCAGCTTTCCAAGAGTTTTTATTTCAAACTCCTTAGCCAAACACTGACTCAAGATTTGTTGCTCCTTCCAATCATCTCCTGTCATTATAATGTCATCCACATATACTAACAAAACTGTTACTCCCCCCTTGTGGCGAGTGTTTGATGAACAAGATATGATCCCCTTGACTTTGCTTGTATCTCAAAGATGTCATAACCTTAGTGAATCTTCCAAACCATGCTCGAAGTGATTGTTTTAGACCATATAACGTCTTTTTCAACCTGCAAATTGTATTGTCAGACACATTTTTTTCATACCCCGGTGGTACCTACATATAAATCTCCTCTGCGAATTCCCTCTGTAAGAAGGCATTCTTCACATCAAATTGTTGTAAATCCCAACCATAATTGGCAGCAAGTGACAAAATTACTCTCATTGTATTCATCTTTGCAACCGGAGTAAATGTCTCTGAATAGTCAATTCCATAGGTTTGTGTAAACCCTTGGACAACCAACCTGCATTTATATCTTTCGATTGATCCATCAGCCATATATTTTACTGTGTACACCTATTTGCATCCAACCGGCCTCTTTCCTTTTGGTAAAGTCACTAACTCCCAAGTTCCATTCTTCTTCAATGCATCCATTTCGATATTCATGGCTTGCTTCCATTTTTCATCAGACAATGCCTCAGAAACATTAGTAGGTATAGAAGTAGCATTTAGGTTTGTAAGGAAGGCTCTATGAGTAGGTGAAAAATTTTGAAACGAAGGATAGTTTGAAAGGGGATATAAAGGTTGTTTGGTGCATTTTCTGGTACTTTTCTAATAGCAATTGGAAGGTCTAGGTCATCATTCATTATTTGGGTCATCATTTAATCTTGTAATTCAGAAGAATTAATTACCTCATTCGAAGGAGTCGAGTAAGACTCTTGAACTTGTGTCGATTCAAGAATGGCCTTTGACTTTCTCATGTAAGCCAGATTCTTTCCATATCTTACATCCACTTCAGGTCCAAGTTCAGCAAGTGGTGTATTTGATTTATTTGACTCAACTCCTAATTCTTCAGCCTCAAACGGGTCTGGTACAAGTGTGTTTAACTCAAAACCAGAAAGATTGAGTCTATTTGACTCTAAACTGGAAGAATTAGGTGGATTTGACTCGAGACCAGAGAGATTGAGTGTATTTGACTCATGACTAGAATGATCAGATGTATTTGACTTAATACTAGACAGATTGAGTGTATTTGACTCAAGACCAGAAAGATCGAGATTTTCAAGGTTATCTTCCTTAAAATTCTCCCCCAGAAGATAAGGTTGAGTGAAGTACGGTTCCTCCTCATGAAAGGTAACATCCAGCGACACGAAAAACTTTTTAGATGGAGGATGAAAACACTTATATCCATTTTGAGTAGAGGAATACCCGACAAAAACACATCTTAGGGCTCTAGGGTCGAGTTTTTTTTAATAGAAGGAAGAAAGAACATCCGTAGGACTCTAGAACCCTAATACTCTAGAGGGTAATCGATTAATAAGATATGTACTAGTGAGAACAACCTCCCCCCATAAATATTTTGGAACATTTTGATGAAACAATAGTGCTCGGGTTTGATCTAATAGATATCCATTTTTCCTTTCTACAATTTCATTTTGTTGTGGTGTTTTAACACAAGAAGACTCATGGACAATTCCCTATTTTTGACAGAAAAAAATAATAACATGATTGAAGTACTCTTTTCCATTATCAGACCTAAGTCTTTTGATGTTTACTCCAAATTAATTTTTAATCATGTAGAAAAACTTTGGGAAAACAGTACAGACGTCAGACTTGTTTTAGAGTAAAAACACCCTAGTAACCTGGGTACAATCGTCTATAAAAGTAACAAACCACCTAGCACCCGTTACATTTGGATTGGTTGAGGGACCCCAAACATCTGAATGAATAAGATAGAAGGGGGAAAAGCTTCTTTTGTTGTTTAATGGAAAAGGTGAGCGCTTATGTTTAGCAAACTCGCACACATCACAATGAAGACTTTCATTATCTACTTTATTGAATAAAGATGGAAACAAAACTTTAATAACTCCAAAAGAAGGATGACCTAATCAACAGTGAAAAAGAAATATTTTTTCCTTTTTAGAGAGTATTGACTCTGACATAAATGAGTGGGACAAATGACCTTTTGTACACTGATTTGATTCTTCAAGATAGTAAAGGCCATTCTTTTCTCTAGCACGTCCAATTGTCTTTCCCGACTCCTTATCCTGATATATACAACAATCACTATGAAAAGTAACACTACAGAATAAATCATTTGTAAGTTTTTGTATGGAGACAAGGTTCATGGATAGTTATGGAACATGGAGGACCCTTTTTAGGATTATAGAATGATTTATTTGGATATCTTCAATGCCCGCTATAGTTACAAGAGTACCATCTGCAGTAGAAATCTTTTTATTACTGGGACAAGGGGATATGTGGAGAATTGTTTCGAAGAGAGTGTCATGTGGCTTGTGGCTCCTGAATCTAATATCCAAAATAAACAAGAAGGTGTTTCTGAGACATGAAATCCAAATGAGAGTGGAAACTTACCAGAATACGCTACACTGCAATTACCTGATGACTTTTCCATACTATTGATCATGAAGGAGCAACAACCAAATCTTTATGTATAAGATACCAAAGAAAACAGGATTCGATGAAGAAATCAACCCAGAAAATATAGTGACAGCGGCTGAAATTGTGCAGAAAGCAGCTGAAACAGCGGCTGGAACTGTGCAGGCAGCGGCTGAAAAATGTGCATAGCGGTACAGACGGCTGCAGAAAACTGTACGGACAGCTATCGGAAAAGTATAGACAACGTTTAATTGGAAAAACTTGACAGCAAGTGTTGCCCAGTCAAGATTAAAGTGTTCTGACAACATAAAAATTTTCAGTCAAATTTCCAAAGAATGATTAGCGGAAGTAGAGTCCCCTAGATTAGGAGCTCTGATGCCATGTGGAAAATTGAAATAAGAAATTTTTTGAATGTGCTTGAGTGAGTAAAGCACTCAGCAACCTTGATATTTATACACATTATATAATTAATTACATATTATGTTTACAAAGAGAAATAAATAATAGTCCTACTCCCTAAATGCATGAATCTAAATATATATGAACCTAAGACTTAAATGTTCATTTTAGTGGAAAACATACAATTTATTTTTTTTATTTCCAACAGTGCCATTATAATCCAATCCAAAAATCTGAGTGTATCCTTTGGCTACCAAGCGAGCTTTAAAACGATCAATTTTATCATCTGGTCCAACCTTTACTGTATAAAGTCAACGACAATCTACTAAAGATTTTCCAGAGTGTAGAGGAACCAGTTCCCAGGTACCACTTCTTTGAAGAGCACACATTTCGTCAATCATTGCTTGCTTCCATTCGGGGTGACATAATACTTCACCTGGAAATTTAAAAATAGAAACAAAAGACAAAGAGGACAAACAAGTATACTGCAAAAGAGAAAGACGATGATAACATAAATCAATATAATGTGGAGAAGGATTTCGTGTTTAACGTATATCTTGGCGAAGGACAATTGAAAGATCAGACTCAGGTTGCAGGATCGGATCCGATGATGGCGAAGGCGTCGCAGGAGAATCTGCAATGACCTCAGGGACGGGTACTGCTTCAGGGATAGGTACGGCAGATGTGGATTGGCGACGCTGATATGTTTGAAGTGGACGAGAAATAAGAGGGTCAACCGTAGAGGTTTCTAGTGGGACACGTTCCCTAGAATGATGGGGGATAATGGAAAATGGGACTTTCGGAAGAGGTGTAGGAGTACTTTCCTGAAGGGGTTCAGGAGTGACTTGGGTGGACTCAAAATATGGCACTGACTCAAAGAAGGTAACATCGGCCGAGACCAGGTATTGTTGCAGAGTGTGTGAGTAGCAACGATAACCCTTTTGTGATCGATGATAACCAAGAAAGACACACTTTAGTGATCGAGCTGATAGTTTATCAAGACCAGAGGAGAGATTATGCATAAAACACGTAGACCCGAAGACTCGAGGAGGAATTGGATAACAAGGAGAGTTTGGAAACAGGATTGAATGAGGGATTATATTATTAAGGACAGATAAGGTCATACGATTTATGAGGTAACATGCCGTGAGCATAGCATCCCCCCAAAACCGAATAGGGACATTACCATGGAGAAGTAGGGTCCGAGTGGTTTCTACGAGATGTCGATTTTTGCGTTCGTGTACCCTATTTTGTTGAGGTGTATGAGGGCAAGATGTTTGGTGCAAAATACCATTGGATGACATAAAAGTTTGAAATTATTGGGATAAATATTCACGTACGTTGTCACTTTTAAGGTACGAATGGACATACCAAATTGAGTTCTTATTTCACGATAAAATTGTTCAAAAATAGAAAATAATTCAGATCTATTCTTCATTAAAAATAGCCACATGCAACGTGAAAAATCATCAATAAACGTTACAAAATACCTAGACACAAAAGTAGACACGGTACGTGATAGACCCCAAACATCGGAGTAAACTAAAGCAAAAGGAAACGCAACCCGTTTTATTGACTTGATCAGGAAAGTGACTACGAGTATGTGTCCCTAACTGACAAGACTCACAATGTAAAGTGGATAATTTAGATGAATTGGGCACCAACTTTTGTAGCTTGGGAAGACCTGGATGACCTAATTGCGCATGTATAATGAGTGGAGAATCTATGGTGGACCATGTGGTAGATGACGTAGAGAAGTAGTAGAGGCCTTGAGACTCACATCCGACGCCAATCGTCTGTCCCGAACTCCGATCCTGTAGGGTAACATTATTGTTAGTAAAAGTGATAGAACAATTAAGGGAACGAGTTAAACGACTGATTGACAGTAGATTAAATGGACAATTAGGTACATATAGGACTTAAGTAACAACGAGAGATGCTAGAATTTGAACAGTACCAATCCTTTGGAATCAGGTTTGAGTACCATTTGTGGCAGTTATACTCGGTAAAAAATCAGAGGTAGAAAGGGAAGAGAAAAGATTTTTATTACCGGTAACATGATCAGATGCACCAGAATCGAGGACCCAAGGACCAAAAGGAGATGATTGAGAGACACAAACAGATGAATTACCAGTGTGTGCAATCGAAATCGTGGAACCAGAGGTCTGGTTAGTCTGACACCATCTGAGAAAATTCTCGTAGCTTTGGCGTAGGATTCTGAAGAGAAGGTGAAGTCTGCATAGTGTCTGAGTTATCAATTTGAGCTGCATTTACCTGTCGTGGAGGTTTGCTATGCAACTCCCAACAATGATCGATAGTATGTCCAAGCTGGTTACAATGGTCACACTTAAGACGAGGTTTAGAGTTGAATGTCCCTCCTCGAAGGCGATTCTGATTGTTGTCAAGAGATACAAGAGCAGCAGTGTCACTTGGTGTTGATGCAACAATAGATGGAGGGAAAACCGGACCAAACGCATGAGGTGTAGCCAAGCGCAACAATTGTTCACTAACTGTATCATAGTTAGGAATAGTAGTACCTGATAAAATTTGGTTACGAACGGATTCGAGTTCTGATGGTAGTCCTTTAAGTGCCATGACCATGAAATATTTACTCTGTTGTTCTGCATGAACTGTTGCATCTTTTGTGCAAGGCATGAGTGTTGCGTAACTTACTTTCAAGGCATCAAACTTACTCAGATAAGCTTGCACATCCATATTTTCCAACTTCAGTGTGTTGAATTTGTGGATGACACTATATAGAGAATGAAGGTCATTGAAAAAGACTTTCTTGGCCTTTTCCCACACCTCATAACAATTGGAGAGTACTGCACTTGGAGGTTAGGTGCAATGGAAAACCACAATACAGTACACAGAGAGGCATCCATTTTCTTCCATTTAGCAAATTTGACTGCTGCAACGTCAGTCAATTTGGTGATTAGATGCTCTTCATATCCCTGACCGCGAAACCACATATCGACGGCACGAGCCCATATGTTATAGTTGGTTGATCCGGTTAATTTTTCACATGGGATAAGGAGAACTTTTGTAAACGAGACAGAATCAGCATCTCCCATGACTTAAAGACACAACAAACGGGGTTGTTTGAACTAGATGCAGATTTCCGAGTTTCGAAAAGAAAAATCGAGACCGGATCCCTGACCAGTGAGAAAACCGAGTGGGGCGGCCGAAAAAACGGCCGGATCGGGTGACAGACGCGCGGGAAGGACGGCGGCACGTGAGGCCCACGTGCGGGAACAGTGATGGCGCGTGGGGGCGCGTGGAGCGGCTGCTGGCGGCAAGCGAAAGGGCGGTGGCCGGATCGGAGAGCGGCGAGTCGGATGGTGAGGTCAGTTTTCCGAAACATCGCCGAAAGATTGCCAGAACAGTGATGGCGGCAGTACCAGTACGATGGTTTCCGAAAAAATCTTGAGAAGTGAGAGGCAAACCGGAGTGATAACACGGTTTGCAAAACAAAATTCTCACTGAAAGACAGTGGATCAACCGGGTAAAGCACGGTGAAAAAAAGAAATTCTTATTCTATATATATTGGTCTACAGTTAAAATGAGTTATAAAACTGCTTAATGGCATAAAATTTGTGAATGGATATATCTTCACTTGAATAACATGTCATACCGTTGTCTCAATAATTACGGCAAACAGATTCACTATGAGTACAAACGTCACTATGTATCCAAAAATGGTGCTCCTTACGAAAGCTTTCAATCTCTTTGACGTTGGTGAATGGTAGAATACTAAATAGTCGAAGTAAGAAAGCTGCAACCAAATCAGATATTAGTGAAAATACTATAAATTTGTACGTTTATACTTACAGTACATTTCCATAAATTTTAAATTCAGAGTATTTAAACTTACCACATCTTCCTTCTGGAATTTTAAAGCAATCGCATTGCAAATATCAGCAAATTCATCCTTGTTAATCTGAAAGTAAAAATTACGTTGAGTTACATTAGAACACGCATTTATGCGGATATATATATATATATATATATATATATATATATATATATATATATATATATATATATATATATATATATATATATATATATATATATATATATATATATATATATATATATATCAGCATGTGCATAACAGATGACAAGAACAGTAGAGAAAAAAATATTACCTTTACATCATGGGTGTCATCCAGCTCCTCAAATATCAGCTCAAATTCTTCCTTGGAGATTTTTGGCAAAGTCCTAAAGAATAGACAATTTAAGTTTTAACACTCACAATGTAGTAGAAATATTGTGGAAAAAAGATATGAAGTTAGAAGCCAAGAGAAAGATCAACAGATAATTATCATGTCATAAAATATGTAGTGCCAATTCAACAAAAATGCAGAGTTTTGTTATTTTGACACAATTTGACAACAAATTTCGATAACAAATATCATGGTTAACACAATTCAAATATGTGGCTTATTACGTTCTTTGAATGGTTAATGAATATAACAAGGTGTCACAAATCATTAACCATCAACTGAACACAATTAACCACGACTTTTTAACATCATTAACTAAGATTTCTAGGTGTTCATATATGCATGTCTTTCATTATATAATCATTCAAATTGTGTTCAAACATACATGATTTTCAGGTTTTCAAATATACATGATACTACCTCCGTTTTTTATTATAAGTCGTTTTGGACTTTTCACACGTATTAAGAAAAGTAATGATTGTTGTATGAAAAGGAGAAGTTATAAAGGTTTTTACAAAATTATCCTTCATTAGTAGCATGAGGAAGATACATTTACATAAATAATAGGAAAAATAGCATTAATTATTCATTGGTATTGTAAAATGACTTATATTGTGGTACACATTTTTTTCCAAAGCGACTTATAATAAAAAAACGGAGAGAGTATCTATTAATCACAATTTGTGTTTAAATATACACCTGAAAATCGTTGTTAATCTACTTTGAAAAATCGATAAAATGATATTATGATAAATATGAAAGCACGGTGATAATGGGGACATATGAAGTAATACCTATAATTGTTCACCTCCTCAAAGAGCCTAATGATTTGATCTTTGTTGAGATATCCAACATTCTGCAAGTATAAAACAGAAGCTCAAACAGATGTAGAATTGCAGGCATAAAGATATTCATCTCTTCTTTGTTGTAGTGATTATTGTAACAATAGCCTTTAGCATTAGTCCTAGACAGATTGTAGTGCTATATTCAAAACAGTAGAGTGCTAAGATAGTGCTATTTTTAATACCATAGTTCAAGCTTGTATTCCAGCTGTCATAAGTAATTGGTCTATAAATAGAGCTTGTATTTTGAAGTAATACTACAATGAGTTTCCCCTTCATTGCTTAATAGCCTTCATAGCTGTTGCATCTGACAGCCACTACCTACCACTGTCAGAATTTCCCAGAAGCATTCAGAAACTTTTAGGTGACTTTCCCACCACAGTGAAAAGTTTTCCAGTGATAGTCAGGCTTTCCTGCAGCTTTATCCGGCCACATCAGAACTTTTCCAATAACATTTCAAAAAAAGTGTTTAACACATTTTGATTTGACTGGCATTGATAAACATGAACTGCAGCTTCCAAGCTTAGTTTTAGAGGGTTGATTTCTTTGTTTGATGCTTCTTCTTAGAATGTGGATATGTGGGACTAAATTCATCCCTTCAAAGCCAACACAATGAAGGTGTTGGGGGCTGCAATGAGGCAAGCCGAAGTGCCGCAATTAAGGTGATTAGTGGCGGACGGCAATTAAGGCGGAAAGTCCAACACACACCCTCACGCTTGGGCCTTAATGAGACCTAAGCGTGGACGATGCGGGAAGCCCAACAATGGATATAGGATAGGCTCTAATACCATTTCAGAATGTGGGTTGGGCCTAACTCATCCTTACAAAACCGGCTTGTAAGGTGAGGATTGCCCCCATTTATAAACACAACACAGGCCATATCTCTAAGCAATGTGGGACCAAATCCACCCCTTCAAAGCCAACACAATGAAGGTGTTGGGGGCTGCAATGAGGCAAGCCGAAGTGCCAAATTAAGGCTGCTAGGGGCGGAAAGTCCAACACTTCTTTTTGGCAACTAGAGAACCCTAATTGCGCTATTTTTTGCTCTATCTTAGAGTCTTTATTTTATGTTTTATATGGTTGTTCGTAGGGGCAATTCCGAGGAGAGAGCATTTTACTTGGGACACACATTTGTGAGAGAGACACCACTTGTCCATCTAAAACCTTAAGGTGATAGATGAGTGGGTGTTCTCACTTATAAAGTGCTCAATCTTCCCTTTTATAATCAATGTGGGACTGCTTCCTCACACTTGATTCTCAACACTCCCCCTCAAGTGTGAGTCACAATGCTCCCCCTCATGTGGAATGACTCTCTTCCACATACACTTGTACACCGCTTGATACAAGTAAGCCGATCCCTATCTCGAAACCAAAGGCTCATGATACCACTGTAGGGGCAATTCCGAGGAGAGAGCATTTTACTTGGGACACACATTTGTGAGAGAGACACCACTTGTCCATCTAAAACCTTAAGGTGATAGATGAGTGGGTGTTCTCACTTATAAAGTGCTCAATCTTCCCTTTTATAATCAATGTGGGACTGCTTCCTCACACTTGATTCTCAACATGACAGAGATAATGTTTATTATTATTGATTAGAGCAGCCTGTGCTCTTAAATAGAATACAATATATTTAGGAAAGGAAATTCCTAATAAATACTTATCATTGCCCTCAATCAATTCTATAAGTAAGGACCAATAATTTCTATAAATACACACACAGCTAATCAAATCCTATTTATGGGATTTTAATCCTATTTAACTATAAAATATACCACTAATTAACACATGTACAGCTCGTTCTGACACTCCCCCTCAAGTTGGAGAGTGGATGTTACTCATTCCCAACTTGCCGATAATAGATTGCAATGTAGAACCACTTAATCCTTTTGTAAGAACATCTGCCAGCTGATTTCCAGTTGATACAAATGGTATACATATTGTCCCACTATCCAATTTTTCCTTGATGAAATGTCTGTCTACTTCGACATGCTTCGTTCTATCATGTTGCACTGGATTATGTGCAATGTTTATTGCTGACTTGTTGTCACAATATAGTTTCATGGGTCCATTCCATTCAATCTTTAGGTCTTGTAGAATTATTTTCAGCCATAGGAGTTCACAAATACCTAAAGCCATAGCCCGAAATTCTGCTTCTGCACTTGACCTCGCAACAACGTTTTGTTTTTTGCTCCTCCAAGTCACCAAGTTTCCTCCAAGAAAAGTACAATATCCGGATGTGGATCTTCTGTCATCTACTGATCCAGCATAATCAGCATCTGTATAGGCTTCCAAAGTAATTCCTTGACCCTTTGTAAATAGAATTCCTTTTCCAGGAGTGCCCTTCAAGTATTGCAAAATTCGGTAAACAGCTCTAAGATGATTTTCTTTGGGATTATGCATGAATTGACTCACCACTCCCACTGCATAAGCTATGTCTGGCCTAGTGTGAGATAAATAGATTAACTTTCCAACCAACTTTTGATAGGATTTTCTGTCCACAGTTGCATCTTCAACAAATTCACTAAGTCTGTGATTTTGTTCAATTGGAGTTTCTACTGGTTTGCATCCCAATTTACCAGTTTCAGATAATAAATCCAGCACATACTTCTGTTGAGAGATGAAAATACCGTGACGAGAGTGTGCCACTTCAAGGCCCAAAAAATATTTTAATCTGCCCAACTCTTTTACTTCAAACTCTTTTAGCAAACACACTTTTAGGCTATCCATTTCTGCTTGATGATTTCCTGTTACAATTATATCATCCACATAAACAATTAGTGCAGTAACTCCCCCTAAGGCTGAATGCTTAGTAAACAAAGTGTGATCTCCCTGACTTTGTTTATATCCCATATCTTTCATCACAGTGGTAAACCTGCCAAACCAGGCCCTAGGGGACTGTTTCAGTCCATAAAGGGCCTTCCTTAGCTTACAAACTTTGTCTTTCTCAAAGTTAAACCCAGGTGGGACCTCCATGTAAATTTCCTCTTCAAGGTTGCCATGTAGGAAAGCATTCTTGACATCGAATTGCTGCAAATTCCATCCGTAGTTAGCTGCTAGAGATAACAAAATTCTGACAGTGCTCATTTTTGCGACAGGAGAGAAAGTCTCATGATAGTCAATCCCATATGTTTGTGTGTACCCCTTAGCTACTAGTCTTGCTTTATACCTTTCTAGTGTTCCATCGGACTTGTATTTAAGGGTGAATACCCATTTACAGCCAACAAGTTTTTTGTCATTAGGAAGCTCTACTAACTTTCAAGTTCCATTTTTCTCAAGTGCATCCATTTCAACTTTCATAGCTTCTCTCCACTCTTTGCTATCTAGTGCTTCGGTAACATTTTTTGGGATAGCGGTAGTGTTTAAATGAGCAAGAAAACTTCTATGATTGTTGGACAAATTATCATAGGATATAAAGTGAGACATCGGATACCTTGGCCTTTTTGTACATGCTCTAACATCCTTCCTTATTGCAATTGGAAGATCTCTAGCATCCATGGATATATTCTGCTCCTCTAAATCAGTCCCATCAACTTCAGTTTCAGGGGGCACAATTTGCTCCTCTAAAACAGTCTCATTGATTACAGTTTCAAGAATTGGGTCAGATTCTGGGACTTGCACAGGTTGGATAATAGGTGCTGCCCTTCTTGTGTAAACTTGTAGTGGACGAGTAGCATTAGGAGTCTGTAATGAAGTGGTTATAGGACTTGACTCGGGAGTCTTGGGCATAAAAGAAAGGTCTTTGAACAAATCATCCTTATCTTCGATGCATTCCTTCTCCCCCTGAAGATAAGGTTTGGAAAAAAAGGATTCGGTTTCGACAAAAGTGACATCAATAGACACAAAATTCTTTTTTGTTGTAGGTTGATAACACTTGTAACCTTTTTGGGTAGGCGAGTAACCAAGAAATATGCATTTAATAGCTCGGGGATCAAGTTTTCCTCGATGTGGAGAATGAACATGGACAAATGACACACACCCAAAGATCCTAGGAACTAGGTGGTTTGAAGTTTTGAAATTTGGGTAGAATTTGGAGAGGAGCTGAATGGGGCTGTTATTCTGAAGAATTTGAGAGGGTAAGCGATTAATCAAGTAGGCTGCAGTAAGAGCAGCCTCCCCCCAATATTGTTTTGGAACATTTGTGTGGAATAAAGATGCTCGGGTAACATTGAGAATATGCCCAATTTTTCTTTCAGCCACCCCATTTTGTTGTGGGGTGTGGACACATGATGATTCATGAATAATACCATGTTCAGTGAAAAAGGAAGACAATGTTTGATTAAAATAATCTTTGGCATTGTCAGAACGAAACCGTTTAATGGTAGTCTCAAATTGGGTTTTTATCATTTGGAAAAACAATTTAAATATTTGAGTGACTTCACTTTTTTGTTTTAAGAGATACATCCATGACACTCTAGTACAATCATCAATAAAAATGACAAACCAACGGGCCCCGATATATTTGGGATATTGGATGGCCCCCAAACATCACTATGGATTAAGGAAAAAGGAGTAGACATTCTTTTATTATTATTAGGAAAGCTGACACGTTTGTGTTTAGCAAGTTCACAATCATCACAGTGAAAATTTTCTAAGTTTATACCTTGAAACAAGGTGGGAAACATATTTTTGAGAGTGCTGAATGAAGGATGACCCAACCGGAAGTGACGCAACCAGATTTCTTTATTGAGGGAAGGAATAGATTCTGACAACAAAAACAGTGGAAGTTGACTCTTAATGCTACTTGTCTCACGCGCTTCCATAAGAAGGTAGAGCCCATTGTCCTCTCTAGCAAGTCCAATCATCTTCCCCGTTTCCTGATCCTGAAATTTGCAAAGTGTAGGAGTGAATGTTACCAAGCATTGTAAATCTGTTGTAAGTTTGTGAATAGATAACAGTTTGGCAGATAATTTGGGCACATGCAAGACATCTCTCAACATTAAATTTTGACTTAGTGGAATATCTCCCTTTCCTGCAACAGTAATAAAAGTGCCATCTGCAGTGACAATCTTTTTATTACTTGGACACGGTGTGTAAGAGATAAACTCTATAGAGGAATGGGTCATGTGATTCGTAGCCCCAGAATCAACAATCCATGTCCCTTTTCCTGTAGATTGTAAAACACTAAGAGCATAGGGATGAGAACTACCTGATAATGCCATGGAAGAACTACCTGTGTTTGTGGGTTTGACTAAAGAGTCTAGTAGTTCCCTTAGTCTTGTAATTTCTTCTGAATTGAAATCAGCAGTAGGTTTGGAATGACTTTCCTTGACAACACTTGATTGGACCAAGTGGGCATGTGCTGGTCCTCCTCGTTGAATGCCTTTGGTGTTCCAATTTCGGTTCTGATTTGGCGGTTTTCCATGAAGTTTCCAGCATCTGTCTTCGGTGTGCCTTGGCTTCTTGCAGAAGGTACACCATAGAGAATCCTTGTTATCCCCTCTTTCAATCTCCATTTTGGGAGCTCCTCCGGTTTGACCGTTCTTCCATTGGTCAATGTTCTTCTCTCGACTTTGTGCTACTAAGGCTGAACTTTCAGTTGATTGAGGCTCCATCATCACTCCTCTTCGTGATTCTTCTGTTCGAAAGGCAGCCATGGTTTCATTTAGTGAGGGTAACTCTTTTCCGAGTACTTGAATCCTTATTGGATCAAACTCATTGTTCAGACCGGTTAAGAACTTATAGATTCTATCCTTCTCCTTATAATTTTTTAGTAAAGTAGCATCTGCAGTGCATTTTGCTTCAAAATGTTCATAGTGATCCAACTCCAACCATAGATTTTGTAGAGTTTGGGCATACTCACTAATGGACCGATCTCCTTGCTTGGTAGTTGCAATCTTCATCTTAATTTCGTAAATTTGTGCAGCATCACCAACCTTGGAATAGTTTTCTTTACAGCTGTCCCACACCTCTTTGGCAGTCTTCATGAATATGCATGCATCACTAATCTCAGGCACCATGGAATTCCATAGCCATGATATTACAACAGCATCTTCTTCATCCCATGCAGCAAATTTCCCGTCTGTAGCTTCTGGAGTATCCTTTCCAGTAAGATGATTCAATTTGCCCTTCCCCTTTAAAAAGGTTTGGACAAAATTAGACCATTTGAGGTAGTTTTTACCATTGAGACGAAGGCTAGGTTGAACATTTTTCAGCTCAACAGAGCCGGTGTTTGGGGCAGGGGTATTAACTGGTTCAGACATTCTGAATTTTGTTGGGAAAAACGGCAAGATAGACCGTAAAATAAAATCGGCAATGCAGGCCGCACAGCGGAAACAATGGCAATGCAGGCCACAATTTTTAACAGGCTCCTATGGATTTTGGAGCTCTGGTACCATGACAGAGATAATGTTTATTATTATTGATTAGAGCAGCCTGTGCTCTTAAATAGAATACAATATATTTAGGAAAGGAAATTCCTAATAAATACTTATCATTGCCCTCAATCAATTCTATAAGTAAGGACCAATAATTTCTATAAATACATACACAGCTAATCAAATCCTATTTATGGGATTTTAATCCTATTTAACTATAAAATATACCACTAATTAACACATGTACAGCTCGTTCTGACACTTCTGTTAGTAAATACTCCAACACTCATTGTTTAACCATGATGTGTAAGAGTTCTACCTTTTCATCCTTCAACCCAGCATTATTAAACGCACACCAGCTATCGACTCGGTAAGGGTACTGTATCAGTGGGTCCTTGGTCAAACCAGTAGGCCACTAGTTGAACCCGCATGGACCGTTGCATTTAAAATATGCACATATACACGGTTCAGTTCCTGGTGGGATTATTTTTTTTCAAATTTTGCAATTTCCATCAGAAACAAGTCACTAATGAATGTGAGAATGAAAAGCCTTCATGCAGCTCGTGAGCATTACAGGCTGACAGTGTAGCATCGGAACTGTTGCCTGGGTTATGAGTAAGGTTTGGGAGGTGCACCAGTCAGCATTAAAAACCGTGTACCAATAAAAGCTCTGCACATGAGTGAAAGAATGGCAAAGTATGAGTCATCCAACCAAGCTGATTCAGTCGAGTCTACCAGTTTTCTCTGGTTTGCAGCCGAGTATATGACATCATCCCCGGTTCTAGTGCACAAACGATCAAATAGGCTGATTGGACTGGCTATGAATTTGGCTCTACATGAACCGGTCGGATTGTCCGTTCCAAGTTTAATATCTCTGCTTTAATGTTTCCAGTACTATATTAGATATCTGGATCATCAACTGAAGTAATCCCAATCATATGACACCTAACTCGTCATTATTTTTAATCCTACACTACTTTATCTAGAAATCCTCACATTATAGTTGTTAATGGATCCCATCCCATGCTCCTATTATCAGATGCGGCAACGTTTCACTTCAACCTTCCCTTTACGTTCATATTGGCTATAGCCATTGCTAATTACATCTCAAAAAAAGAAAAAACTAAAAAATTAAATGTAGTTGTTTGACATTATCTAGGAAGCATTGTCTGACAAGAAAACAGCATCCTAAATACATGGAAAGTCATACTTACATATGTATCTAGGAGATTAAAAGCTCTCTCCAACATAGCTCTTCTCATTCGATCCATCTCAAAAACTTGTTTTACAAGCTACAACAAAAGAATATTTAAGCACTGTTATAATTTGTTTTGGTATCCGTGATATAGATACACAATCAAAATTCTTGTGTTTCATTCCAAGAAAATACCAATCCAATTCTTCAAAGTTTTAAATTTCAATCCGTCATAAAGAAAAGTAGTGGTAAGGAAAATTTACCTCACTCTTAAAACTCTCGTAAACAACGGCAAGGATCAAGTTCGTAACAAAGTAGACTCCCACCAGCACAAACAGAATGAAGAAAATGCAAGACAAACGTGAAGCCCTTAAAAGCCAGAAAATAATGAGCATTGACAGCTGCAGATGTCTCAAATTAAAAGGAAAAGAAGTTAAGCGAATTCAAAAATAAATTAAAACTCTTACTTGTATGCAGGAACCCAAACATCTGGATTATTGGCGGTGGTAAACAACAGAAACATCTGATATAACGTTGTAGTATAGGAAGTGAATACTGTTTTCCCCTGTATTGTATCTTCAAAAATCACATAAGCCACCCAACTTGTAAAAACAAGAAACAGAAGCCCCAAAGCCTGCAATTCATGAGAATTAGATGGTAGCTATATCCAGTAAGAAAGTGTTGTTTAAACAAAATTGAAATTATACAATGAAATGTTGGCGATTTTGTATCACCAATGTATTTTAGTAGTAATGTGATTTCTAAAGGCCGATGCAATTATGCGTTAAGTTCGGAGACGAGTTAGGGAAGTGCGGAGTGCACGCTCGTCGAGTCAATACATAATTGAATACGAATAATTGAAACGGGGTTCCAAGGGGCGAAGCCCCTGGCGGGGTGCGGGGCAGCGCCCCGTGCAAAAATTTTGAATCCTTTCCCCAACGGACATAACTGTTCCCCAACGGACATAACTGTTTCCCAACGGACATAACTGTTTCCCAACGGACATATTCGTTTCGAACAAATGTGTCTCTTCGTTTCAATTACTGTTCTCCTATATAAGGAGCCGTTCGGCCTCGGTCTCACAGACAGAAAAACGGATCCTTCTCTCTATCATTACAATTCGTTTCTTTTGTCGGAAACAGAATTTTTTCGAGAATTATCCCCACAAAGATTTCGTGAACCCAGACAAGAATAGGGTCGAAATACTTTGTTCGGAAAGTGTACGAACACGATTCATCGAAGTTATCCAGGATTATCACACCCTAAATTTCTAACATGAAACATTCAAGGAAACCTAATAAATTGTGAATATTGAAAGTGTTGCAAACAGGAAAAGCATAGAGTGAGGCGAATGAGCAACAGTCTGAAAGTGAACTAACCAAGATATTTAAGTATGTGTCAAGCATTCCAGCCAAGATGATAGTAGTTTCTCGTAGCTCCCTGACATCAAATTCAGATGCAGAGTTAGACTGTCCTGAAATTTGGTTATTGATAAAACTGGACCAGAAATGTTATAAATAGAAAGCTTTTCTTGCATAAATGACCCTTATTAGATATGGAACCAGAGGCCAAGAATTATACAATGAAATTATTTCTCTTTCTCTCTCTTTCTAGTATTTAATATTTAGGCATGCTCGGACCTCAATGAGCCTGATGCATGAACTATGCAGAAAGCTCAACAACAGACCTAGATAGGCTCTGATACCATCTTTGAAAGTGTGGATTGCGGCTAACTCATCCCTACAAAATCAGCCTGTAAACCCCCGCTTATAAACACTACACATGGCATATCTCTAAGCAATGTGGGATTAAATCTACCCCTTCGCACCTAACACAATGAAGGTGATGGAGGTTGCAATGAATGCAACCCAAATGCCACAATTAGGTGACTAGGGGCGGACCACAATGAAAGCGAAATTTCCAACAGTAATGTTCTGGTTTTGAATCATTCTCCAGAATTAGTAGCAATGACGTATCAGTATTGTGCAATTATTTTCTGTTGGGTACCAGTTCCTATCAGAAACCTGGTATTTTATTCGAAAGAATATGGATAATTTCCATTGATAAGGGGTCAAATAGCATTAAATATCTGTTTGATAATTTCCACTGCCTAAGTTAATTGATAATTTCGTATTACTAGACTTTCAGTCACCATAGAAAGCCTAAGTTATTTGGTTTTATCCCAAAATTCAGGGATCTTGGTACTGTTTCTCCTGTGTATATATTTGTACAATTCCTTGGAAATATTCAGATTCAATTCAAGTTCTCTAACTGCCATATCTTGACCATTCCCAAAAAAAAAAATAACTAATTTGGAAATTAATTAAATAGGGGTCAGGTACTAGCATATCCAAGATGATTGATAGGTCAAGGGACATTAAATATCATTAACAACCGTTCCTGACAGCCAATACCAATGAGGTGAACGTGTTTTATCAACATACAAGACAGTTTATGAAACATATATTTTATGCTATCCAATGCTATCTCTATCCCATTCAATCATTCACCATTCCACCTGTGCAAATAATAACTAAAACTCCTAAATTTGAAGTAGCAACAAAAACAATTATTGCAAGACTTACAGGCATGTTAAGAGTCCTACACTTTATAAATGGGGCAACCCTCACCATATAAACCGGTTTTGTAAGGATGCGTTAGGCTCTGTATAATCTAAAATGGCCTATCAATCGGCCCACCTACTATTTATATCCACGCATCAAGCTCAAGAGTTTTGGGCATGAGGTGTGCTTGTTAAGAGTCATACATTAGATGAGATAAGGGTTGAACAAGTGTTCATTATTGGGGAAATCATCACCTTATAAATTGGTTTTATAAGGATGAGTTAGGCTTTGTATAATCTATTAAAAGATAATCTCGAACAGTATATTCACTTAAAGTAAAATAAAAAATGGAGATCTGTCAATCAATACCTAATATTCAGAACAAAAAGAACAACCCTTATATAAGGTGCAATTCTGAAAGGAAGAAAATCAAAAGCCACCGGAGACATATACAGAGCATAAACCAGCATATCAGCAAGGATAACTAACAGACATAAGGCCTGAAAATACAAATAAATTATTTCATTAGTAGTCTGAAGCATATATGAAAAGCACCAAGTTACTTATTACACCCCAAAAAGAAGGGAAAAAGTTCAGCTTTCTATTCAGTGAACTGGATAATAAGCAAGTACTCTTATTTGAAAGACTTGAATTTGAAATTAAGAGATTCAGAATTCTATTATTTGTACTTTAAGATATCCGGGTCAGAATCTCACTGCTGCTAACAGGGGTAACTGTGTACACCTAGTTATATGATTTTAGAAAGAGAAAGATATTTGTTAAATAGGTATTAATGAGATATAGCTCCCTCAACGAGATGATATATGATTCCAGTGGCAGTTGGGATAGAGCTATTAGATAGATGGAGCCATTCCTTTGGAATAAACCACTCATCATAATCATTGATAATCTTCTCCACTTATATGACTTATAAGAGGAGAAGGCTATCAATGAGACGTAGCCCCCTGATGAGATGATATAATATAACTTATGACCTGAGATGAGAGTGCCATAAGTCAGACGTAGCCACCCTTAGGAGAACAGGACAGTCAATGAGCCATCTTAGATATTGGTTCTCTCGTATGACCCCTGTTGTACTTGTATGCATATACTTTATCAAAGACTAATGAGATTAGTTGCATTTTATACACTAGCATGTTTGCTATTAAGTTTTGAAAGATAGTCATTCATGAAGCACTGTGTTTCCATTACTAGTCCATGGTAGTTCAAGTCTTTAAGAACACTATGCTATAGGCTGAGGTGGTTGGGTATTGACCAACAATACCTTCCAGAGATCATGTTTTTTGTTGAAAATCTGATCCTCAAAAGTATGCTCTAGACAAGTAGATTTGCAGAACTAATAAGGCCTTGTTTCCAATTACTAAATAATATTAGTAGGATCTTGAAGCAGCATACCTTCAATAGATTAATAGGACTTTTCCAATATATATGGGGCCCTTCATATGATAAAGGCCAGAAAGTATGAATGATTAGCAAAACAAGAACTATTCCCTGTATTACACAAAAAGATCCGGTAAGATAAATTACTACACTAATAGTTGAGAAATGAATATAAGGACACCTTAATAATCCCACAGATCAAACAAAATCCATATACCATATAAGTGTTAGAAACTGAACCAGAGTTATTAATTCCGGTTAGTTACAATTATGTATAGGGCATATTACAAAGATACCCTTTCTATGATACTTATGTATATACTCTAATATAAGGAATCCCATTTATTATGGTAAAAAAAACCACTTCCAATTGTTTTTTTGATAAAAGAAAATCTCATTAGGAAAAACAGATAGAATATATCCGATAAGAGGATAAAAAATCATCTTTAAAAGCAGAGATAAAAAAGAAAAAAATTGCAAGTCATTAACGAGAATTCCACTGAGATCATAACTACAGTTTCACACACCCTAATCGTCCAAAATGTAACATTCAGCTCCAGTAAATAATGACGCAGACAGGTAATGTTAGCTGTTTCACTTAAATTTCAAAACATAGGTGAATAACAAACACAATTTAACATGGAAATAACATATTTATTGTCAAAGATAATCACAATTTTCAAAATGACAAACGAAAGGTTCGTTGGTAATATATACATTAAAACATAGATAATGTCTGAGACTCTAAGCTTTGAAGTACTGAACTCTTACCTCATAAATAATACATTGTGCGGCAGTTAGATATGGCAACTGTCCCAAAAAGAAATACTCTCTATCATTGCAAGAATGCATGGTATTCTTTTCACACCATAGAGGTTTCTGTAGCATATAAAGTACACTGTGAAGTATCTTCTTTCTATTCTGTTTTCATTTTGGTTGGCCTAAAGGCCTAGAAAACAATTTATTCACTTAAAGTTTAAGAGAAGCTGAGCTTATTACAAACCTCCAGGAAATTCAGGACTATCAGAGCAAAATAACTAAGAGACCAGATGAGATCAAATTTAGTGAATATAAAATAAAATCTTGAATAACTTTGAAAGTTTGATGAATCCAGAAGTTGCTCGGGTATACCAACACCATCTTCAGCCTGTGTAATGTATTTTCAACCAGAATAATAAGTTATTGCCAGACCTGAAAGAAAGTATGTACATACAAACATAACCGTGTAACCGGAAGCTGGGAGAATATATGTCAAATACTTTAAAACTATTTCATCATAAACTTGATTAGCCTGCGTTGGTTTTTTTAAAAACATACTTTATCCACTTTTGCCTAGGTACACACTCAAAAGGACACCAAAATAAGAAGTTTTTTTTATGGGAAATCTAACAAAAGCAGATCTAGAAATTATTAGTAGCAATTTTAATGGTACTCGTAAATGGTAATGCAAGTTTCTTTCCTTTTTTCAGACAAAATGTGATTTTCTTTCTAGAAATCAGCACACGGTCCGGAATAAATGAGCAAAAAAAGATATTGTTTTGGCACATAAAAGGAAATAAGTTATAGATAAAAAATCACTGTAGGGGTCTTCAAGCAAAAGAGAAACAATTTAAACATGAAATTATTTTTTGCTTTGTACAAAAGAAATCTGATGTTTAGAACCATTGTGGTTATGTTGCTGACAAATTTATAACAGAAAATTAACAACAACAAAAAACTATTGATAAAATATAATAGAAGAAGGAGACCTTCTATTAAACAAGTTTATGAAAGGAGGTACCAGATTAGGAGTAAAAGGGAAGGATTTAACGTAATTGTAGAACCGCATATGGTTGTATTGCAATTTGTAACTATCAGTAGTTAGTTGTTAGTTAGTTAATACTTAATTGTATGCCCCTAATAATTGTTACAAAATTTCCATTTCATCATATCAACTTGCCATTAAGAAAAAAGTGAAATAGCTTTCCATTTAATTGCAGTTGTCAACAACAGAACTAAAATTTTTTCAACAAACAACCAAACTTCCATATTACTCTTACTTCTCACTATCCTATCCATTTATGCATCTCCTCTTCTATTCTGCGTTGTCAAAACAAAAATTTCTTTGCATTTTTACATTTCTCGCTTCTTAAAATAACTATAGTAACAGATGGCTTCCCCTATAATTCCAAGATTTCACATTTGTCTAAGTGTGTTTGGAAGAATAGTCTCAATGTAAAAAGTGATGTGTCTCCATCAACAATGTTATTTTGATAATTTTTACTAGTTACCAGAATTGATTTTGTCTTAACCTCCTTTTGATTAGCATTATGAAAAAATTATGGAGTACTATACTTTAACTCAAACTTCAAGGTTATTTTAAAATTGCTCGAGTCTTGTCCAATAATCACTCATAAACACTTGAAGTGTATCTGCAGTGACCAAAATTGATTTTATTGTTAAGAAATATGGTTAGGCCTAACTCAATCTTACAAAACCGGCTTGTAGGGTGAGGATTGCCCCCACTTATAAGGACATGTTCAGGCCATATGTTTTCCAATGTCGGACTCTTAACACACTCACTCATGCCCAGGGCCGGACATCTGGAGTGTGAAAATAAACGGTGGGTGGTCCGATAGCGGAAACATGATAGCAGGTGGCACCCCTCACCTTACAAGTCGGTTTTGGGGTTGAGTTAGACCTAATCACATTTCATAACGTTTATAAAATTGATTCATGTTAAAAGTGAGTTGAATATAAAAGCAATTTATATTTAGATACGTGGTGGTTGTCTCCCACCTACATGTGACTCTCTTCTTCCACCTTTAAGGTGGTCATCTCCTCCTCTATTGAGAGAGGTACCCACTCCATTTAACTATGCCCACATGCTCTAACCGGAACTAACTCTCTCATCAGATACCCTCTCTCTCCACCACGAACCACTGCCAAACCTCAGCAGCTACCACCGGAGTCACCATCACTAGGAAATTGAGAGTTTGTTAAGGTTGTTTTTCTCTTCTCAAACCTAACAATTGTGCACGCACCTCTGTCCCCTATAGCGGCTCTTACACCTCTGATGGTGGCCCATCATTTGTCCACCTCCAAAGCCACAATTGATTTTCTACACTTTACAGTTACTTCCTCTGTCAGCTCTGTCTACCTCTGTTTATCTATTTTTTATTTTGTGCTTTTGTCTTTTGGGGTCTAAAATTGCACTCTAGGTGTTTGGCAATAAGCCTAAAAAAGAGTTGTGTCCTGAAGCAGGTTAGTGTGTCTTTTGTCATCTCGTAGTGATTGAGGAAGCTTATGAGCCTGATATCCATTACTACACTATTTATATTCATCAATTAATTTTCTAACATTCAACAAAATGTTGAGACCAAAGATAGTCAATGTACAAGCACAAGTCAAAGAAATCATCCTTAATTAAATTTGGAAAAAATACTCTAGATTCTCTTTCCCATATTGCTATAGATCGTGTTCGTAAGAGAGTGGATGGGTAAATGATAAGTTGATTCTTTTGGTTTGTTTGTGACCTCTTAACAACTTGTGAACAATCTATGTAATGTCTTTTATGACTATGTAACTTTTTCTGTTACAATTGCTTCTAGACTATGAATGTGGTATCATATTTCAATTGTCTCATGATATTTATAATGTTTGTTGTAAATCTATTAACGAAATTATATTTACTGTCAAAAATACTTCAAAATATTTAAACATGTCAAAATCAATTCCAAAGCAAAATTAATTGTACTAAATAACATTCAAACATATTAAAGCAAAATTAATTGTACTCAATAACATTCAAACATATTAAATTCAATTCTACATTTATAATCAAGTTTAACTCCTCCAAAAGTGAAACAAATATTCACTAAAACTCGCAAACTTATAAGAGCCAAAATCGAAAACGTGATTCCAATTCAAACTTTGAATTAGCACAGTCGTCACAGTAATTCTGTATAAAACCATCATTAAGGAATTCGTAGCAAGAATCTGACTGAACTTGGATCTAATTCATAAAGCACATTACCAAGTCCTAAACCATAGAATAACAAGATCTACCTATCTCTATCCAACTCTATTCCAAATCACCAACGCACGATTCAAAACTAGGTTGCAGATTCACAATTTCAAAACTAGCAGAAACTAAGTTCATTCGAATCAAATAGCTTCCGAAAATAGAAAGGAGTGTGAAAATTGAACGAACCAGATCGATAAGCGCGGCCGCTTTCTCGTAATTGGAACCGTAGGTGATAGCATCGGTGCGGCGGACTATCCCTCGCGAACGGTTTCTCAATCCACTGCTTTCGCCTCTGAGTAGAGGCTCCGCCATAGTGAGAGAAGTGAAAAATGAAGAGTGAAAGAGTGATGAATGATAATAGAAACCTAGAAGATTCTACTGAATCGTTATTGAGTTGATGGTTATAGGATCACGTTCGCACATGGTAGAGAATGGAGAGAGCATGAGTTGTTGGTTAAAGAAATCGTGAATTGAAAGTATGTGACGTAATGAAAGTGATTTACATGAGAATGGGTCAACAAATAACGACGGTATGTGAATAACATAAATAAAATGATTAATAATTCTATCATCCTCTGAGTAATATTAATTGGGCAAGTGGTAATGAACTGCTCGTGATGGTGATGTTATTGTTTGTTAGTTTCTAATCTCAGGATTTATGATCAATGTAATACGTCTCATCATTGACATGGATATAGTCTCAATTCAAAGTCAAGAGCCGGGGACCAACCCTTTGTTCACACTGTCGGTAAAGAAAACATCACTTTTTTGTTAGTACTGAAGTTGTGTGTAATTTTTACATGAGCGTGCTTGATAATCAGATTAGCTGCACTAATAAAAATGTAGCATTTGTTAAATTCAGTTGATTACTTCAAGATTAAACAATTTAAATTCTATATATTTTTCTATCCGTGGACTTGGACTGGGGATTGAAAGTTTTTGTGGAGACAATCAGCTTTTTAAAGCTGTTTTAAATAAAGTGATTAAATATAAGTGTTTTTAAATAATCAAGATACTATTTTTCTTTGATATTTTTAGTTTCTATATTAAAATCAGTTGATCTCTTAGAAAGGTCAAAGACTTCAAAACATAAAAAACAGTTAATCTTTTAGAGAGACCAAAAGATCAGTTGATCTCTTAGAAAGGTCAAAGACTTCAAAACATTAAAAAAAAAACAGTTAATCTTTTAGCAATGTTGTATCTCTTATATTTATGATGTAATTTTTAAGATGGTCAGTTTAACATATAAATTTTATTAATCTTTCATATATATTAACTGATCGTACCTGATCATAAGAGATTGTCAAGACCCACGAGCTTCAAGTGGAACAGCGGTTGAATGTAAAGTGGGGGTACCTACAAGACACTCTGATGCCAAAGTGACGTTCAGAGCGAGAGCAAGTAAAGTAGATGAAGTAGAATGAATGAATGGATATCTGACCCTCTCAGAGGATATTTATAGCCCTCAGTGCTGAGCCAAAATCCATGTAATGGGCCAAACGATTTGGGCCTAATAATGTGGACTGTCAGGGTTTACGCAAGTCATGGAGCCCAACACGTGGCCCCTTTCCTGATGAAGCGCCCCGAAAATGTAGGGATAGTGGACCCGTTATTCTCGGAGGACAGGTGGTGGTTGATGATGACTAGGCACACGTTCTCTAATGGGCACGTGGGAGAATCCCCAACGGCTATCAGCCTTGGGCCCAAAGCTATCGGGCCACAATAAAGGTGTTGGACTGGGCCTTCCCCGATGGTGGGGCAAGTTTCAGCCCAGTCCAGAACAGGAGTCCCCCAAGTTATTGCCCTTAGGCGAAATGGTGATGACTTAATGTGATACGGTGGCAGAACCGACTTTTTGATACTGGTTTGCGTTTTGCGTTTTGTGTTCGCAAAATGTCGCGGTAAGCAAGAGTCGCCATCGACTTTTATTTCATCCAATCGGAAAGGAAAAAAGTACAGAAAAAATCTTTTTTTGAGATATTCTGAGTACGGGGGATAGATTATAGAAAGGGAAGGTGTTAGCACCCTTTCTATCCATGGTTTTCCATGGGCTCTTGGGTACTTGCTCATCTTTTTAAAATTGTTTGTGTATGTGCTTTGTTTTGAAAATGTTTTACTTCGTGATAACCCTTGTATCAGTCCTCAAGGATGTGACGAAATTGTTTTGAAAATTTGTTTTTTTTAAAGGTGTGTTTACAGTGATTTCTGGTAAACAACCGCTAGTCCTCCAAACTATCGAATAATCTTACTGACTGTTATTCAATCTCTCTGGTAACTCGCAGGATCGACTAGATTGATCCTAGGATGTGTTGGTCATTAGGATAACTCTCATTATAGAACTGGTATTCATGGTTGGTATTTAGAATGTTGTGTAGGTGTTTAACTTACTTCGATTTCTCTATTAAAGATCTAAAGGCGTGATCAAGTAAATGTGCGCGAAACTAAATTGCATGAATAAAGTTCAATTGTAAAGACATGTAAAAACTGCATAAAAGACAAGTAAACGACTTCGAAGCATAAAAACATGTAATGTAAAAGATTCTCTGGAATGTAAAAGATTCGAAATATGAAGAAAGCTTTTAAAGGCAAGAAAACAGTGAAATGACTTTAAGTAAAAAAGGTGTTCGAATGATAAAAGCTTGAAGATAAAGGCATGAAATGTACAACAGTTTCTGAAATGTAAAGTATTTGAAATGGAAAGAAAGCATTTAAATGTAAGGCATCAGTAAAAAGACTTCGAATGAAAACATTTTAATGCAAAAGCTTTTGAATGGTATTGACATGAAGATAAAGGAAAATACTGGAAATGATAAAGAGTTTTTATTAAATCATAAACACTTGGTGTTATCATACGTACATTGCTCGTGCATTCGTTTCCCTAGCCATGTGGTATTTTGAATGTTTACTGAGTTTTTTGTACAATAGATATGACACACGAAATCTTAATGCTAAGACTTCTATTTATACTACTTCGACCATAACGGTCTTGCTATAAGATTCTGCCACGTTCAGAACATGCAGAGCAATGCCTCTCTCTTGCTTCCACGCGTCTTCAAATGCTCCAGCGCATATATTTCAAATTTCGAACATCCCGCTTGCATTTTAATTTCAAATGTTTTGGCATTTCTTCGCTTCGAACGCATTGCTTGGACACAGCCTTGTTAACATTTCGAGACTTCTTTGAATATATCCTCATAACTGTCACTCGAAGCTCCAAGTTTTGATATGCCCATTCGAAGCACTGCTTCTACCATTTCGAAACATGACATCTTGCTTTATTTCAATCGAAACGTCCAATTTGCTTCGCTTCTAATAATATCATCAAAATCTTCAGCCAACAAAATGCCCCTTTAAAATATGTATTTCGATTCCTTTGAGAAATACTGATTTTAAACATATACACAAGATTTTGATGCGACCTTCGAATCATCGTAACATTTATTGCATATGACTCCAGTCACGTCAATCACAACGCTTTTCAGATTCCTTAACCGCCTTGAACCATTTCACAGCATGGTGCAGTTACAAAACAATGATTATCATTTAATCACGCTTATTACCAATATCAACTTTACGCCACCTCCTTTCCAAACCAACCCACGACTACCACGTATCACAATCTTACTCAGTGGATGCTTAAACTTCCACATTATAAAAAACCCATCAACTTAGTCTTTTCTTTTCTTCCCACTTTCTGAATCTTTTCTTCCTCTTTTCTCACCGAAATCCTAAACTTCCAACATTCTTCCAACAATGTCTTCTTCAACTTCATCTCAACTAAAAAAGGCTTCCAAAAAGAAAGAAAAGACCACAGAAACCACAATGGAAAGCAAGGTTGGCACCTACCAAGGTCAATCTGTTCTTGTTCCCCAGATGATCTCAAAAGAGAAAGAAATGCTTTATGCATCCCATGTACTAATTCCTACTAACGCCGCTGGCAAGAGGTTAGCTTTAATGGGCCCTCTTACAGTTTTTGAAATTTTAAAAGACACCAGAAAAATTTTCCCAGTTTGTTACAATTTCAAACCTCTGTTTAATAAAATGGATGCCCCTAAGACAATAAAGTCTTCTGATTCAAACACCGTGGCACATCCAATCGTTCCCCCTAAGGACCCTTTTGTACTAGATTATGTAAAGAGTAACTTCAAACCATTTCGATCTTGCCCCACCTCCGACACAGCTTATCACAGCCAGTTTAATAAGGTAGAAGCTAAGAAATCCCAGCAATGGGAAGAGTTAGGCATTTACAACTTGATTAAACTATCGAAACCAAGTTTTACTTATAGCCACCCATTGCTATTCGCGTCCCTATATTTCTGGGACAGTACTTACAATACTTTCCATCTCCCTGGTGAATGATTACACCCACCTTTTTTGACATAGCAGCCATTACTGGGTTATCACCAATAGGAGAAACCTATATCCCTGACAATTAAGAGCATTCAAGTATCATTGACTTCGAAGTCAAGCTAGCTAGCTTTTCAAAGTTTATCAGCCACTATCACACTGAAGGAGACAGTGTGTCGGATGTAGAACACATTGCTTTCCTTACTTTATGGTTGTCCAGGTATGTCTTTTGCAGTAGATCCCTACAGGTAGCCAGTAGGTTTATTCCTCTAGCTAGATATTTGCATGAGAATCAGAGGGTGTGTTTAAGCGAACTGCTATTAGTTGATCTTTACGAAAGTCTAAGGTCAGCTGTTTCGAGTCTGAAATCTCACACCTCCAAGAACATCCTGCTAGCTGGCCCTTTCTGGTTACTCCAGTTATGGCTAAATGCCATGTTCGAACCTTCACTATCAACTGCCAATACTATTGTTGAACAAGACCCAGAAATAGCGGATAGAATCATCGAAGGCACTAGGCTGCGAAGACTAACCCCAAACGATGATAAGGATGACTTCAAAGTTCTATTCTCAAAATATATCATGATATTCTCCAAGAGGCATAAGTTCGAAGAGACCATGGCGCCTTTTGCTTCAAGGACTCATGGACCTTCATGGTTCACCATGGCTCTCTCAGAAGCTGTCAAAAGTAAAGAAATTCAAGATGTATGGAGAGCCTTTTTGCTACCCAGACTAATCTCTTCAAGAATTACTCCTGCTAAGAATCAAATTTTCCTTTTTGCTTATCAACCCAACTTCGTTTCGAGACAATTTGGCTTGTGCCAACTAATTCATGAACCCCTATTCCAAACGGAAAATGCCATCACCTCTGGGTGAACCTTCAAGGCACGAGAAGCCAAACTACAGCAGGAACAATACCAAGGCTTCACCCATTTTGAACTAATAACCTTCGAACCTACACACCTT